GTTACAGACTGGGGATTCCCCCGTCACAGACCGTTACAGACAGATGATTCCCCCCTAGTCTCAATCCTGCTCGTTCCTTGAGAAACCCTGGAAGGATCTTTCAGGATCCTGAATATCAAGGATCATATCAAGATTTCTTCAGGATCCTGTTTCAAATCTTGGTAATTCCTGTTTCCATGATTTTTCAAGGCAAAATAGGATCCTGTTCAAGATTTTCTCAGGTTCTTGCTCAGATATATTTCTGAGTTGAGAATATAGGATCCCACCAGGATTTACTCAGGATCCTACCAATGATCCTCTCAAGGTTTATGAGAGAGGATTCTGCCAAGATTTTATCAGGTTTTCATCGAGACCTAGAGCAAATCTTTGTATCAGGATCCTGCCAAGACTGATAGTCACATCAGACAAGGATCTTGGAAAGAAAATAACAGGATTAGTCAGAGTACAAAATCGACTAATCCTACAAAGTTTCAATCAGGATCTTATCCAGCACCTTTCAAGCATATATGTTTCCACATTTTGCAAAACAGTATCAATTTTAATTAGTATTTGGAAAAGAAAACATGAGGATTTAGAAAGGATCTTTCCAGAAGACTGCTTAGTTTCTTCAGTTATGTGTATTTCTTAAGACAACTTCGAAGGATCTTTAAGAATCATCAATCTTAAGGATCCTGTAAGTTTTGATTCAGAGTTCTATCCAGAATTTGTTCAAGTTCTTGCTCGAGTTTTTTGAATTGGTATTGGAGGATCCTATCAGAATTCACTTTCGATCCTATTTAGGAACCTCAGAAAAGTCATAAGGAGGATTTCGTTAAAATTTCGTTCGGTTTGAATCAAGATTTGTTTTGGATCCTGATACAAGGATTCCGTCAAGAGTTATATCATATCAGAGAAGGATTTTACCAGGAATAAAACAAGATTAGTGAGAATCCGCAACTGAATAATCCTGTTAACTTGCGATCAGGATCCTGTGAGGAACTGTTCAAGAACAGACGTGTAGAACTCTTAAAAAAGCACAAGTATGAACAGGATCTTGATAGAAAAATAAGAGGATCCAGTTAAGATCTTTGCAGGTTTGTGTTTAGAGACTATTCAAAGTTTAATTTTCAGGATGTTGTCAAGAACTTGGCAGGAATGATTGAAACAGCTCCCAGGTCAAAAAATCAGACCTAAGATCTTGTTGATCATACGAAATCTTACAAAAATTGTGGTTCATGCAATCTTATACTAAGTCGTACTATAAGATCCATCCAGGATCTTACTGTCACATAAGATTTCCCATAATCTTACAGTGAAATCTTACCGGACAGCAAGATCTTGGATGGATCTTATAGTACGACTTAGTATAAGATTGCATGAACCACGATTTGTTGTACGATTTTCGT